GAGAGGAGCGTCTGTCACGAGGCAGGATGTTCCCCGAACCTCTGCCGAGGGGCGTGCAATGGACACAGAGGGTGTGGGGTTAGACCCGGCCTTCATGGAATCACGGAATGGTTGGGGTTGGAAGGCACCTCTAGGGATCATCCAGTCCAACCCCTTGCTCCAGCAGGGACACCCAGAGCATGGGGCATAGGGCGGCATCCAGGCGGGTTTGGAAGATCTCCAGAGAAGGAGACTCCACAGCCTCCCTGGGCAGCCTGTGCCAGGGCTCTGGCACCCTCACAGGGAAGGAAGTTCCTGCTCCCATGGGGATGGAGCTTCCTGCGTTTCAGCTTGTACCCACTGCCCCTTGTCGCTGCCCACACAGAGCAGTTGTGCCTTCCTGCGCCGTTGGAGTCGGCTCCTGGTGGCCATGGCTTTCCCTGCCATGGACACAGTCCTGTCCATCCGAGGCAGCACCTCGGCTACGAGATCGGAATGTTTTGGGAAGGGGACTCGCACATTCTCTCCTAGCTTCCCTTTTTCAGCCGGCTTCTTGCTCCCGCTCATTCGTTCTGCTTTCCTGTAGGATTTTCTCAGGCCCCATTTCACTGCAGGTGCCTCTGTGTGTGTTGGGCTGGGGTGCTCGAGCTGTGACCATGGGCTGTAAACGGGGCACAGACCCGTCGCCCCCTTCGCCTCTGCCCATGGGGCAGCCACAGTCACCACAAATGCCCCAGTGGTGCCGAGAGCAGGGGCAGATCCTGCCCCGTTGGAGCCACGGGGGAGGTTTGAAGGCCGCATCCCCGTGGGGCTTCCCTGGTGGCTTCAGCGGGACGGTGGCTCCGGGCGCTCGCAGGAGCTGCCGCCCGGCCGGAGAATGAGGAAACGTCCCCGGGAGCCGCTCCGGGCTCCTGGAGAATGAGGAAACATCCTGAGGCGGACATGCTGCCCACCGGGGCTCCCGCCGGGCCTTTCTTCCCTCTCCTCTCTGTTTAATTTTGGAGCACACAGAAGATCCAACAAGGAGAACAAGCAGGATCCAGTTCCAGTGCGAGTGGTTTTTGGTGCCAGGGCCTCTCCTTGAGTCCGAGGAAAGCGGTGCCCGTTAAAGCCCCAGCTCAAACTGAGGAGCTGAACGTTCATTCTGTGCGTGAAACCTGAAAGGATTTAAGGAAAGTTTCACAGAAGGGGGAACCGAAATTCGGCTTCGTGCTTGTGGGGGGGGAAACCAAACGAGAAACCCACTGTTTGGAGGGTGTTTGCTACACCTGCTCTTTCCCGGCGCTTCCCTGGGAGCCTCCCTCTCCTGCTTCATGGTGAGGACAGCAGCACGTGGAGAGTGAGGCCATGTCTGGCTTTCCGAAAGGAGGAAAACATTCCACATTGATCCAGATACCTTGTTTAAAATGTGCAGGGTGCTAACGTAGTTGTTGGATCCTTTCTCACTTGCAGGGTGGCTTGAAGGATGCTAAGGAGGGCTTTAACCTTTTATTAAACCTAGGTTTTTTCCTTTTTTCATTTTAAGCTTGGATAGGAAGTTAGGGAAGCCCATGGTTTCCAGGTGTTGCTCCAACCATATGAATCTTTCCATTAAGGGGGTGCAATCCCTGGAATTGCATCCAGGTGCTGAGTTATCCTCAACGTCCCTTGACTCCGCAGGGAGACATTGCATCTTGGGCCCGTGGATGGGCACTGCGCAGGTTCCCAGCTCCGCAGTCACCTGCAGCTGATCCCGGGGCAGGAGGTGCCGCTCCAGCACCAGGATGGTTTCAGGGCGGCTCCTGTTCCCTTGCGGAGCCAGGGAGGCAGCGCCCTGTGTGTCCACCTGCATCCAGGTACTCAATACCGCCCCGAAATTCCCTTTTCTTTCCATTAAAGTTGGTAGCATCATTGCGGTTCTCTCATTAAAGCCATGGAGCTTGGCTTGGCAATTACAACAACTCCTGAGGGAGAGCGAGGGTGTCTCCGGAGGAGCCTTGGAGAGCTCCTTGTTTCTCTTTTGATCTCCTAGGGTTTTCTTCCTCCTCTGAAGGCATCTCCTGCCCCTCGTGCCCCGCGTGGTGCTGCCGAGGTATTTCGGGAGCCCTAGTGGGGTGCGCGAGCTCCTGCCGCCCAATGTTCAGTTCTGTCTGTGCATCCGGCCAAAACACACCCGCAAATGCAGCGCTCTGATCCCCTGCGTCTCGCAGAGCTTTCCTTTTATTCCTGCTCTTCCACAAAAACTAAAAGCCAGTTCCCAGCAAGCCAAGTTATGGATGCAAATGACTCCGTTGCTAGGGAGGAAAAGCATCCTTGAGGAAAGTGATGGAGAAATAGGTGGTACCAGGAGGTTCTGCAGCTGGGCAGGGGAACGGGCGGAATTGCGTGGGGAGTGAAAAGCGAGTGTGGGAGCCGAGCAGCGAGCCCACACCGAGTGGGTGCCCTTAAATGTAGGAGGCGGCTGTAGCTTTGGGGCTTGGAAAGGGAGATGATGGAGACTCCGGGGTCTGTATCAGGCTGGATGGATGTGGTTTGTCCTGGGCTTGTGTCTGTACAGGAATTTTAACTTATTGTCAGAGGGGGAAAACTCGTTAGGCAGCGTCTTCAGTCTCTCTTTTTTCCTTATAGAGACTGGGAAGGAATCGCTACCTATTTAAGTAACAGTTGTCTCTTGGTTTCGCCTTAGATAATATTTCCCCTTTAGATTATTAGTTTTGAGCGTTTTTGGCAAGTTTGATACTGTGGAGGTGGTTGTGAGTATGCAAATAACTCTGAGTGATGCAGTTTTGCAGTTTTACTGACCACTTGTTAGATTCCAGGTGTGGACGGTGTCAGATGAGCCCCTGTAAAGGATCCAGGTGCCTTAGTCTGTTATGGGGCAATTAACAATTTGCCTTCAGCTTAACCCTTTGGCTCTTACATTTGGTGTGGGGAGCAAACGCAGCCGAATCCACCAACTCCGAGCACGAGGTGGGAGATCCCAGGCAGTGGCACAAATCCCTCGTTCCTGGGGCGGCCCCTCTGTAATGTGGTCCAAGGTAGGATGTGTTTCCAGGCCAGGAGGTGTCCTCTTAGGGGCTTAACACTGGCATCCAAAGGGGTCCTGTTGTGCATTGACCTCCAGGCACCTGAGAGATAAATTAAGAAGTGAAATATTATTTTTAAGAGCACAGCAAAACGCCAACCCCCAGCCTTGCAGCCAGATAAATGTTTCTGTGTTGCCGCTTACCTGGTTGCACACTCGGAAAGCGCTTTTTACAGCCCTCTTTAAAGCCTTCAGCGTCCAGGCGGTGAGGGGAGGTTATTCCATAGGGGGGCTTAAGGCTTGGAGCCCTTCACAAGGTGGGTCCTGCCGAGCGCCTGTAGTCGTGGTGTAGGTTGATTGAGCGCCTGTAGTCGCGGTGTAGGTTGATTTATCTCCGTGGGTCAAAGCCTGCGTGTGAGCTGCTTGTGACGATGGGTCGGATGCTGCTGTGCTCCTTCCTGGCTAACTTGCGTGTAGCGTTTTCGTGTATTTTAGAGTATTTTTGTGTATTTTAGGGTGTTTTGTGTGTTACGCGAGGACCTGTGTTGCAAGGATCTGTGAGGACTTGTGCTCAATGAGCAGGGGCCTGGGGCGGAGGGCAGGTGCATGCCGAGGTCAGCGGGATTTGGGATTTGGGAGCGGGCTCTTGCTCGTTTTTAGCACAGGCTGCACGGGGGCAGTGTTGCTGATGGAGAATCACAGCATCCCCCTGTCCGGGGTGTCCCGCGGTACTCGGGAGTGCCGCGGCTTCCCATCGCCAGGGCAGCGGCAGCACCCCCGGCTCCGTCCGGGGCTGGATCCAACGGGACCATGTCCGCGTTATCCCGCAGCAGCCAAGCGGGTGCTTCCCGTCCCCCCTCCTAACGCGGGGGTCGCCCCTCTGCGCGCTGGATCCGAGCGGGAAGGGGTGCCTTTGGGAGAACATGGATTGGGGCGCCGGGAAAGCAGCCCCTTCCCGGCTCCCGGGCGGGATGCAGGTGGCTCCCGCGGGCTTGCTCGCACCGCGTCGCTCCGTGCCTCCTTGTGCCTCCTTGCTCGTGGGAAGGTGCTTGCCGCGGGAGCCGCTTTCCAGGGAGCGCGGGGCGCGCGCGCGCGCCGACAGGTGGCGCTGCCGCCGCGGCCACGGCCGGCGCGGGGCGCCCGCCGCCTCGGCACCGGGGTCGGCCCTTTCGCCTCTGATTTCCCCTCACTTTCCCCATTTATGTTATTTTCCCTTATTCCCCACTATTTTTATTTCCCCCCTCATTTTATTTTTCCCTCCTTATTGTTATATTCCCCCATAAATATTCCTTCCCGTTATTTTTCCTCCCCTATTATCCCCCCCCTTACTACTTCTCCCCCTTACTATATTTATTCCCTCCTTGTTACGCTGATTTTCCCCTCTTTTATCCCCCACCGCAATATTATTTTTATTCCTCATTTCCGTTCTCGGCGCCCGCCGCCCCCCCGCCCCCGCGTGGGCTCCCGCGTGTCTGTGCGTGCGGGGGGGGGCTAATGATATGCGCGGGGGGCGTGTCCCGCGCGGCGGCGCGGCCAATGGGCGGCGGCGGCGGCGCATACATTAGTCGGGGGGCCGGCATGGCCGGGTTTTGTGCGGC